CTGTTTGCGTAAGGCCCAGGTCTCTGAGGAAGAAAAGTGGAATCAAAGAGATGTGCCCAGAGCTGGAGTTTCTTCATCCTCTTAGCTGTTTCTTCAACACTCTTGAAGGTGTTCCAAGCGTCTCTCTTCCACCTGCGCAGCTCGGGTGCCAGTTCATTTGTTTTGTTGACTTCTCGACCTAGGTACACATAGCTATTGCATTCAGAGATGGTCGTTCCGTTGAGAGTGAATGGAGGGTCAGGAACGAGACTGTTTCTCATAAACATTGTCTTCGTAAGATTCAGCTGTAGTCCGACCTTTCCACATTCACGGTCAAAGTCGGCCAGCATTTGTGCCGCTTGGCTAATGTTTGGTGTTATTAAAACAATGTCATCAGCAAAGAGGAGATGGTGTAGTTGCCAACCATCTATCTTCATTCCCATTCCTTCCCATTCCAGTCATCGCATGATGTTCTCGAGCGTTCATGATGTTCATGAAGAGTTTCGGTGAAATGGTATCACCCTGCCGAACCCCTCTCTTGACATGGTTGATCACTTCTTTGTAGAATGGTGAGATCCTGGTAGTGAATCCTTAATACAGCTCATGGAGGATCCTGATGTATTGAGTTTGAATGCCCTGATTAGCTAGGGTTTCAACGACAGCTTCCGTCTCAGCAGAATCACAGGCCTTCTTTAAATCAATGAACGTTAGACAGAGCGGCATCTTGAACTCCCGAGAAACCTCAATGAGCTTGGTTATCCTGTAAATATGGTTGATGGTGCTGAATCCTTTGCAGAACCCAGCTTGCTCGCATGGTTGTCCTTCATGTAGTGTTCTGCCAATCCTATTCAAGATGACTTGAGTGAACTGCTTGTAGATGACAGACAATAGGCAGATCAGGCTATAGTTGCCAATGTCATGGATGTTTCCCTTCTTGTACAGTAGTACAGTCCTGCTGGTTTTCTATTGGGAGGGAACCTTGCATTCAGAAAGGTAATGTGTGAAGAGCTGAGTCAGCGTATTGATAAGTACTGATGGCAGGTTCTTCAGCTGTTTAGGTCTGATCTTGTCTGGGCTGGGTGCTGTTCGTTTCTTTACTGTAGAAATGGCGTGTTGGATTTCAGAAGGATTGCACACAGAAAACCTACCCTACCCCTACCGGTACCAGATAAATACCTCACTGGCAGACCTCCACTATCTCCACTACCTCCACTACCCAGCCCCCGCTACGCTCCAGGACGCATTCTGGACCCTGGACGCTTTGCGCCCGCGCAACACTTCATAAGACACTAAATAGCCATCTTCTAGAATTGCCGTATCATATTTGTAGGGTGACTCCTACAAGGGTGATTAGAGGCCACCCCAAAAGCCTCTATTCCTCTAGAAAAGCCTGGCAAGCTACTGAGCGTAATCCGTCTGCGTGGCTGAGCCTCGCAAGCTATCCATTGTGTATTCGATATGCCAAAACCAGTAATTACAATGGGCCTCATTCCCCTGACCCTGAAGGCATCACCAGTAATTACTAAATCTATGTGTGTTAATTTTGTGCTGTTAAAAACCTAGACTTTAAACATAAGATCAAAAGAAAACTACTGTCATGCAGGTGAATGGGCAGCATTTACACTTCATGGTTCCTATTATGCAATACTGTAAGAGGGAGAGCTGGCTTTATAACAGGCTATCATACATATTTATCCTCAAGGACAAAAAAATTGCTCTTAGTAACCACACAGGTCATAATTTGAATTACTGTATGGCTATCATGATTTAGCACTATATTGTATAAGAATAATTCAAATTTATTTTCTTAGAGCAACTATTAACTGATCCATATCCTTAAAATAAAACCTCAGTTTATCAAATTCTTTGGGCTGGAGCGATAGCACAGCGGGTAGGGCGTTTGCCTTACAAGCGGCCAACATGGCCGACCCGAGTTCGATTCCTCCGCCCCTCTCGGAGAGCCCGGCAAGCTACCGAGAGTATTTGATATGCCAAACACAGTAACAACAAAGTCTCCAATGGAGACGTTACTGGGCCTGCTCGAGCAAATCGACGATCAACGGGAGGGCCTTTACCTTTTACCTTTTACCTTTATCAAATTCTTTAAGTTACACATATATTATATTACTTAGTAGGTAAAAGAAAGATAAAGATCAATAAACACACTTTCAGAGAAAACAGCAGAAAATGCTACTATGTGAAAGTTAGTTTCCATGGTGATGAATATTAGTGTTATACAAGTGTGAAATATTTTTTCAACATTTTTCTTTTTCTAATAAAAATCAAATAATCAGTTTATTTTAGTCTTTTAGTATGAATCCTCTTTCAAGTGAGAAAACAAATACAAGATGGTTGGTTATTATTTAGTTCATGAGAAAAAAAAATAGAATGGAATCCATGTTTCCCAATTCCTTTTCTACATCCCCTGTCATTACTCCATTCATTTATATTAATAACACTATAAAAGCGATAGCACCAACAAATTTTTCATGCACAATGGTATGCTGGTAAGATTTCACTTTTATTATTTTCTTCCTAAAATTATTTTTTAATTAACCTTCTTATATATACAATGAAATTAAAGCTGAGCTTTGTTTTCAATAGCCAATGTGTGATCAACATTGTTATTAATAGTCTTCTTTCAGTTGGTAAGTTTCATTTTCTTAACCTTGGTGAATAAAAGCTTGACAAATTAGACAAGAAAATACACTTAAAAATTATTGAGATACACCTGAGGATCTGACAAGCTAACAAATATGAAAACTGAAGAGATGTGTTTTGGTTTATTTCTACTCATTGAGAGGAAATGTAGCTTAAGAGGTGTTGACTTTTTATGACATTTATTTAGCTCTTGAATTGACTGACAAGCCATTAATGTATCCTCTGAACTTTATTAATGTAATTGAAAAACTGCCCACATTTCAATCAACTAATAACTAATTAGGTTCCTAAATACTGTAAAAATTATTAGCTTTTAATTTGACTAAGCACACCTTTAAAATAGAAAGATAAATCTTTTTCTAGTGGAGTACAATAATCATACTGATAAAATGTTTGATAAGTGCCCTCCTACATGCACTTCTTAAATGATGCTCAACCATTCATGTTATTTGAGGTGTCAGCAAAAAAAGAAAGCACTATAACAAATTGTAACAGTTTTAAAATAAATTTCATAGACTCAAACAATTAATGTAATAGTTAATAAAGAAACATTCTGTAAATTAAGTGTATTTAGGTGACGTTCATATGATCATTGATTGTTTCTTAAATATGGAACTAACATGGAATAAACAAGAATTGATAAACAGAAAAAGGGATATTTTTACTGCTCAGAAAAAAAATGTCATTTTAAACTTACACAAGAAAATGGTGTCTATCTCTAGTGAGTTAGATACATTATTGCCCTAGTGTACCTTTTCTCATGTAATAAAAATCTTTTGTAGTCTTTGAGCTAGAAACTAAAGTCAAAGGGCATTGTATGAAACAAGAGAATAGGATTAGGCTTGGATAACAGAAAAAATGTGTTTTTGACTTGTAATCTCGTGTCAGTTTTTGAAGCTGGGCAAACTTCTGCCCTTCAGAACCTTTGTATAATCTCTGAATAAAGATGGACTTTGTGAAAACTCTTTTATTCTTCTATGTTTTTAAAGAGGAATATCACTTGAAATGATTTTCAAAACTAAAAGCCACTGAGTAAATTCACAAACATGTAATTCAATTTATACATTCCTCTTTAACTGTTTAACTAGTGAATTTAATTTTAAAACACAGTAAAAATACTTATTTATGATCAAAGTTGTGCTTTGATTCATGTTCACCTTAATTCAAGAGAACAATACCCAGTTACTAAAATTACAGCTTGATTATCTTTAGAAGTGGGAAGTCATGCACCTAGAGTAATAGTAATGGTTGAAATTTTAAAGTATAAACTCAGACAGAAATAACACAACTTCTTGCTCACTCAGCTTTTCTGTTAGGAATAAAATATGTATTCAGCGGCATCACATTATCATATAATTTGTGACTAATTTCACTTAAAAATTCTATGTCATTTTGAATTCCAAAGCATATATTTCTACTTAGCCAATGAATAATTAATCTAAAAAAGAATGGGGAAATAATATGAAAAGGGCAAATGTATAAATTTTCCATTCTTTTAGAAGTATAATTCATTTCTTGAAGAGAATTTGTATTGAGAATAAACACATTCTTATGTCTCACTATGCAAGAAAAGTAACATAATTTGATTATTGTATTGCATTTGCAGGGCTGGAGCGATAGCACAGCGGGTAGGGCGTTCACCTTACAAGCAGCCAACATGGCCGACCCGAGTTCGATTCCTCCGCCCCTCTCGGAGAGCCCGGCAAGCTACCGAGAGTATTCGATATGCCAGACACAGTAACAACAAAGTCTCCAATGGAGACGTTACTGGGCCCGCTCGAGCAAATCGACAATCAACGGGAGGGCCTTTACCTTACCTTTACCTTACTGCATTTGCAAATAGTAAGTTTAGCTAACATGATTTATGATCTACTGAAAGTAAATCACAGTTTAAGAAATTATAGTATATTTTTTCAATTAATCTTTGTTTAAATAGGTAACTTTAGAAGACTGTTCCTTTCATTGTAACTTGAGTCATAAAGTTCGATTGAGATATAACAAGGTGTTGAAAAACTAAAGATTACTTTAAAAGAATTAGCATCCATATATCCAAAAACTTTAGAATCTTAATGTATCCCTCATGGGTTGTTGAAGACTTATTATAATGGATTAATCATGGATTCTCAAGATTTATTGATGTTTGACTCAAAATAAGATATGAAGTGATTGATATACAAAAAGTCATAATGGGCTATTATTGGATCATCTTTTGATCTTCATAAGTGAAGATCTGCATTCCTATAGCTTAGGTCATTACTTAATGCACTATAAGAATATAAATCTGGGAAGGCAGTGGAATCATATTTTTAGCATGTCAGTAACACAAACCTTCACAGTATAATAAATACGGAAACACATACCTTGCACAGTTAGATGCACCTGCATTGTTCTCGGTGTATGTTGAGTCTGAACTGAACACGTGTATGGGCCATCATCTGTCACATCTACATTCTGTATCTGGAGGCTGTAGTCCCTTTTATTCAATGTTGAAATTGAAACTCGAGGGTCCACAGACCACTTATCACCTCCAGCAAAAATAATACTTGACCGGTTCAGCCAGGCACCCTTTGATGCTCCATCTTCCAAATAACATCTACAAATGATGAGAGACAGAATGCTATTAATCAGAATGAAAATGAGAGACATTATCTGTGTCCTGAGTGTATTTACATAGGCTGAATTATAGCACCGCATCAAATGCAGACACCAAACATAAATGCAAGAGACTTGAACACATTGGCACATCCTCCATTCCCAATGCAAATGTGAAACAAAACATGCAAAAGGTCTTCCTTTGTTTTGTTTATTTAAGTGTACTGTGTGTGTGTCTATGCATTTTAATTCAAAGTCAGTCAAAAGCCTGTCCCATCATCTCTGGATAACAACCATAAATAATTTTAAATTCATTTCAATAAAAATATTAAACATACATTTCTTTGAAGCTACAAGAAATGAGTCTAGGTAAAGTCCTAATTTATAACCTAATTCAATTCTCAGTACAATATACTAGATGTAAAAAGCATAGACAGTAGTATAAATGGGTTTATTTTTAAAATAATGTGATTGCAATCTTGTATGCAAACTTGTGTTAGTATACTTTGGAAACCACAAACTGCATTTTGATATAATACTAATAAAATTATATAATACTAATACTTTAGTAATAAATACTTGCTATCTTTTAAATTAACTGACCAATAATCATCCAGTATACATACATTCACTTATCAAAATATTTATGAAATATTAGTATTTATGGATTTAAAATGGCATTGGTCTTTCTATTCATAACTTTTACTCTAGTAAACAAAACAAACAAAATAAATACTATATGATAAAAAAATGGATGATCATAATAATCAAACCAGATAACAGTAGAGTGAATATAATTCAAATAAGACACAACTGCTCATATGACATTATAAATGAAGTTAGTTTTAATAGACTAGAAATAGATCCTGGAATAAAATGATAAAGAGTAATGGGCATAGCACTGTATACAGAGGTTCTGAATGTCAGGAAGAGAGAGAGAGAGTGAGAGAGAGCAATTTTTTTCAGAAGTGCAAATAGAAAGCACAGAGATGAAGCCCTAGAAGTAAACTAGAATCAAATGATGATGAATTTAGAGTTTTAAAGTAAAAAATTTTAAGAAGGTATTCAAATTTAAATTTACTAACAAGACAAAAATATACTCTGTGCCTTATAGAAGCCAGTTAAGTAATTATTTAGAATAGAAGAGGTCCGTGGTCATTCAAGTGATTTTGCTGAGGAATAGAATCTATGTTTCCTAACTGAAAATGTTCTGATACAAATTAAAGACTAGACGTTTTAAATGAGTACAAAGCACAGCGACAGAATGAAAATACAGTTATATCGAAATAGTTTGACAGCTTTTCTCAAGAACACCTTAGGGGATTGAACACAATGTTTTAGATTGGTACAAAATTGCAAGTTGAATGCAACAGGGTCCACTGCTGCCAAGAGTGTGAAATTAATCAGTGTGTGAAAAAATAAGAAACAAGGAACACTGAAGAAACTAATTTGCAGTCAACTTTACCATTTACAGACTCAAACTAATACAAGTTATATAGGTCATTATAGAATAGCTTTTCCTTCAGCATGTAATGAAGAAATAATGGTTTCTTTAATAACAATTATATAATCACAATACATTGTCAATCTTAATATTAAACACATAGGGGCTTATATTCTATTTTACAAATTTACATCAGTCATGGTATTTGGAAGAATACTATATACCACTACTAGGACTGTGATCAATCCATCGTGTGTTCATTGAGTGTTTATTACGTTAATTCTACTTTTGGGGTCTTACTTATTTTTAGTATCTAGTCTTCACAACCACCTCCTGAAATATGCATTGAAAAACTCAATTCATCACTGGAAAATTAATAAATGCATATAGGCTATATGGATTGCACAGCCACACTATAAGGGGGTGGTGAGTGAAATTCATAATCCAGTTATATGTTTCAACATTCAATGTCCTTTCCACCATAATGCAGATCAAAGACATTCAAAATAGATCCCAGAAAGGAAAGATGATTAGAATGTTGCAGAAATTACTGCAAGTAATTTCTTATTTATTGAATGTGACCAACTGCTTAACCTGTCCTATTCTAAAGGAAGCAGAAAATTGATTACTAATGGATATTTTTACCATGAAAGTCTGATTTAGAACACTCCATCCAGTACTTCCTTTTTCCTACAGACATCAGCAGCTTTATCTTTATTTGGGTCTGTCAGGAATATCACAGAGATTAGCCAGCCTTCAGATACTTCTACTACTTTAATAGACCAATATGAATTATAGCCTGTCTCCAAATGTAATACCTTTGTTTTGGCATGTCAAGGTCTATCACAGAAGAATATAATTTATTGTAAAAATGAAGAAATAGTACTTCTTTAAAAATTTTGAACTTTAGACACATATTTTGTAATGTGATAGTTTCCAGTCCAATTTTTTAAACCTTTGTATGAAACTTAAAAATTTAATATTTGGATATGTTTGATTATGTCTCAATTACTTAGTTATATTATCATATATAAAGATTAACAATTGAGAATAGCAGCCTTTTACTTTGAGAACACAGGCCAAAATAATTTCCTTTGTTATAAAATTGGGCTGGAGCGATAGCACAGCAGGTAGGCCGTTTGCCTTGCAAGCAGCCAACATGGCCTACCCAAGTTCAATTCCTCCACCCCTCTCGGAGAGCCCAGCAAGCTACTGAGAGGATCTCGCCTGCACGGCAAAGCCTGGCAAGACACCTGTGAGGTATTGGATATGCCAAACACAGAAACAATTGTCACAATGGAGACGTTACTGGGCCCGCTTGAGCAAATCGATGAACAATGGGAGGACAGTAACAGTTATAAAATTAAAAGAGACTTATAGAGAATACACTTTACTCTTTTAACCTACACGTTGATTATATACAGATTATATTATTATATTAAACATAAGATAATTATATAACATAATTTCTTGAATGTATTCTACTTCACTAACTCTATTTTCTTCACTAACTTTATTTTCCACATTCACCATATTTTTTTAAATATAAATATTGCCTGACATATGTATTATGTATTAAAAATATTCCAAGGAAGGAGATAGGATAAAGGGCTAGACTGCATGCAAATGGGCCAGTTGATCTCTGGTACAAAGTGTTCCCCAAGCAACAAGAGGAACTACCTTCCCCTAAGCAAGCAAAAAATCATTACCACACCTGGTCTCCAAACCAAGAGAAAACAAGAATTCCACACACACAAAAAAAGGTATTCTAGGTATCACAGAAAGTACAGGTAGATGAAAGAAAGATTGGAAGTGGTTAATTTAATTTCCAATTCTTTGGGTACTAAAATCTCAGGGAGTTTAGAATATTTGAATGTAAAAAGACAAATTTCTTGGAATACTGTTGTCCAATACCAATTTATCATTTAGCAGGGATAATAAAATATATTCATAAACAGTCACTGTTCCATACAGAAATTTTCAAAAAATAAATTGTTGCAACAAGGTTATTGGGTATGCTTAAGAAATCATGACTTTTGTCCTTGACCCTTTTAGCTAGGTCCATTCTCCTCATAAATAATAGAATCATTGTAGTTTTGATTTAATTGAGAACTCCACTCATCCTTTTTTACTTATTAAAAAAAACTGGAATCTTTATAGTGACCAAAATTCTTATGTCATGGAGTTCATGGTTGCTTTTCTGATCTTACAACCCACAAATTTTCCAAATTTCTTTTCAATATATCAGTCATCCAGTTGTTCTTATTAGACCATGCATACTTCTGCTATAGGAGGTTTAGATCTGTTTTTTCTTCCACCTGAGACTTTCTTTCCCTGAGTTCTGTATAAATAGTATACCTTACAATGATACATGTCACATAAACTTACAAAGTACAGTCTACTTGGGAAGGCAAAGTCATGTCCACATGAACTATATTAGATAATGACTGAATATAAAGGTTTACGCACAAATAACTGCTGAATGATATGAAAGTTAAATAAAATCAGTATTAGTCATTAGATCAGAGGCAAGCTCAGTGAACAAAGTAAATATCCAGTGATGAAACCGAGATTGGCAGAGCTTGTACCTAGTTGGAAAAAGAATGAACTGCAGCATGACAATAAACTTCAGGATTCACTTCAAAACATTCGCATTAGACATTCATTATTTAATTTCATCCTCAGATGATCCTATGATATAGCTATTTCATCATTATACATATGAAGAAATAAAGGTACTGGTAGTTCATACCCTGAACAAAGCAAGTCTGACTGCATTCTCAGCCAAAGTGATAGCTGTGCATTCTAGAATCTCCCTATTTAGGACTGAAGAATGAATGTGTGAGTGAGAGTTTGGTGAAGTGACAGTTGTTGGATCATTAATTCAGCAACAATCCTCAGGTCACTCATATTATTCTTCTACTATGAACTTCAATCCAGAATTTTTGTCTAAAATCTTTGTATTCATTTTATCAATTATAAAGATATAGACAGCATAAAGTGTTCCATAATGAATATATTCTTTATTTTAGGATAGTATTACATTTCTCAAAGGGTTATTTACCCTTACAAAATCTGCTTGACTAGCTACTTTATAGGAAAATGAGTGAAGGACTATCAAATACAGACTTCACTACATAAACTATTTTAATACTGTGTCACATATCATGACAAATCTTACAGAAGAGTCAATCATCTCAATGTTTTATGTACATAGTTCTAAACAGATGGTTTTTGAAAAGGATATAGAAAATAATCTGTATATTTCCTCTTTTGTTTCATAGTGGTTAATTATACAAATGCAAGCTTAATACAGTCAAAGTTTAGAGTAAAAACAGAGTTGTTACTTTTACTTTTGAATGCTTTTAAATGCTCCTTTATAAATAATATTACTTCCCACTAGGCAGGTCAAAATTGAGTGGAGTAAAGTTTAATTTGGTGAACTACTAATTGATAAAACTGATGAAGTAATTCTTTTTTGGGTTTTTTTTTTGGGGGGGGCACACCTGGTATTGCACAGGGGCTACTCCTGGAGCTGCACTCAGTAATTATTTCTG